TACAAATCATGGGGACCCACAGCAAAACTTTGGGCCCTTCTAGTTAACTCTCTCTGTAGTGGCTGGCAGTGTCAACTGTGACAATATGTGTCACAGTTCATGACATTAACATGAAGTAACATGAAGTATAACATGTTAACATGAAGTATGTATGAAGGACAGGCAGCAGGAGCGATGTCAGCATAGTCAGTACAGTAGGGAGCAGTGCTCGGGGTAAAAGTTATAGTAGCACTAATAATAATAATAAGAAGAACCATAATTATATTTTGCATTATGATAAAACTCTTCAACCCTAATACTACTTTTCTTTAAACTCTAGCTTTGTTAAACTTTTTATAGTAGAACCACAAACCTCAGCTTTACTATAAGGTTTTAACAGAGGTAAAACTCTGGGATTTGTGATTACATTAGACATATGGGGTAATTTCAGTTCGTAGTAGGGCAATTAATCTACGCTGCTAAGATAGGCAAATGCTTACTGCACAGAGGCGGATCTGTGACTAGACCAGCCTGAGGTCTGGCTTCAGTTCTTCTACACTGGAAACTTAACAGTTTAGCTCTCCTAGTTTTTCATCAGCCTTCCTAATGGAGCCCCCTTCTACCCTGGGCCCCATAGCAGCGGTGTGGACTGCTATGGCTATTGTTACACCACTAGTTTCAACATATTTTTTAAAAAGAATGCAAGCCTTACTGCAGGGTTAAAGTAGCATTCAGGTGACGTTCTAAATGCAGCTTCAGGGTCCATTCACATTAATGCACACATTTTCTTGTGTTGAGGTACGTTGCACTGAAAAGCACCCCGTTCATCTCAAATGTTCATGCACTATTTTACAATGCAAAACTATAGTACAGAACTCCAGGAAATGTTATTTATTAACACTTGCAGTGGGACTACTGCAAGGGTTAAGTGATTGTTTGTTTCTAGGTTAAAAAAAAAAGGTAGACTCACCTGGTCCTTCCAGCCTCTCTCCTCCTCCTTTGCAGCGTGAAGATGCTGAAGAAGATTCCAATGAGGGGGAGACAGGCTGGAGGGAGCACTGTTACAGCTGACCAGCTCAAAGCTTCTATCTGTGTATATCTTTGTTATTTTAGCACCTGGACACAAGCAAGAGCTTAAACCCTGCATTGTGGGGTAGCCCAACTGCAAGGGTTAATATAAAAAATAATGTTCTTTTTTAAAGCACGCATATGTGTGTATATGTATGCTGGAGTGCCATTTATAGTAAATGCATCACATTGCAACACACATATACCAAGCCTTACAGTAACAAGCATGTCCAGTTGCCTTGACTTATTATGTTATTGCAGCACATATGTGTGAATCCAGCATTATAGAAATATATCAGGGTTAGATAAGGTACCAGGGTTAGATAAGGTATCAGGGTTGCTATAACTAAGAACACTTTGCTAAGCTTGCAAAGTACCAGGAGCCATAGCAATTGTCACTTAAAAGTGCAACTAAACCCAAAACCATTCTTTTTGACTCGTTTTTTGTTATTCATTTTGTCTTTTTTTTTTTTTTCTCGTTTTGGATAGTGTGAAGAGGGATTAGAAGTCCTGTCAGGTTTTTATTGTGGTTGTGTCCCCGTTGGGTAGATTCACCCTATTTGTCCTGGTGACTGTTATCACTGAAAGTGAAAAAATATCCTAAATTTTGGGCTGTCATCAGAAAAGGAATAGATGGGAAATCTTCCAATGGGGACGCACCAGGGATTTCCTTCACTTTGGAGGGATTTCCTCCCACACCCTGTTATGGCTATCAGACAGGAAGTGAAATCTCCCCAATGGAACACAGATGGCAAAAAAAGGTGACGGGGGTTATAACCCACCCTCACTTTATCTCAAACTAAAAGACAGTTTTGGCTTCAATTCTACTTTTACTGGCTGAAATCTTCCTTATATAGTATAAGGAAGATTTCAACACACCAACACACGTGGGATCATTCCATAGACCACACAAGCACAGTTACATGGAGCAGTCAAGCAAATTTGACTTTATTGAGATCATACAGTACAAAATGAATTTTGATTAAGTTCTGTGGGTGGTGCGCTTGGTATTTAAAGTTTTTCCTTGCATTGTTTTATTAGATAAGCCCTTGGTCTCTACAGTCATTTTCAGGTTTGATCACGACACACCATTGCTTTTGGTTCAGTAAACTGATAAGCCAGTTGTTGCCTGATTAAAACGTTGATGACTCTATCACATAGCAAAACACCAGTGTGATTAGAGTGTGATGGAAGCAGCAGTTTCTAGGGTGTTTACTTTCTTAGAAGTGGTGGTACTTTCTTACAACTAGCATGCTGCACATGAGTCAGGGAATGGCTGCTTTCATCAGAGCCTAATCACACAGTTTTTTTTCTTTACTGATGGATTCCCTTTAAGTAACGGCAAACCTGTCCAAGTATTCTGGCTGAGATGTTTAGTACTCAGGTTTATGGTATAATGAGCTGTACCAAGCAGTGATCTTGTTGTTGGAGCTTCCCGGATCCTCGCTGCATTATCCATGCTAACCACGCAACAGTGCCATAGCTATGAAGCCTGCAATTAACAAAACAGCAATCAAGTTAAGTGCTTAATTTCAGGAAATTAACATCCTTCTCCAAAAGGATGGGAATAGAAAATAAAAAAGGCGGATTAAAGGAGAGCTGGGTAAACAGAAGAAGCGACGGCTTTCTGCCTCCTGCATGCACTCGAGAGAGGGACCTCGTGTAGAGGAGGTAAACAGAGCTGACCTCCGAAATGCAGCATTATGCTGAGAAGAGCGAAAGGGAGGGAGGCCCAGACTCCAGTGATTAGACCTTCATTCCATAAGATAATTCGATGACTTTATGTGATGCAATGTACACAATGGCTTTTCCACAGAGAACACTGTACATTATGGCTTTTCCATAGGGAAGAATGTACATTACATATGCTTCATCCATGTGAAGCGCAAACATGACAGATGTATTTCTAAAGGGTAATTCTTGTCGTGTGTTTTTTTTTTTTTTTTTTTAATGAGCCATCATATACAGCCATCTCATACAGATAACTGCTTTCCAATCAGCATTAGTGATGTAAGAGGACATATGATTGGATTATTTCTGTTATATCAGGTCTTGAAATAGGTGCATTAGTCAAATTCAAGATATGGTTATAAACAAGGAACCATTGAAAGAAATAAGTATAACTAACACTTTTACTTCCCTTTCTTAAAATGGCAGAGAAGCTAATATGGTCCCGAGTCTGCACTAAAATTGTGTCAAAGGGGTGGTAGCAGGTAAACGGACATCTCATATGAAGCAATCTATTTGTTTTTCTGGGATTACCTGGATTCATTCTCCATGTGCTAAATTAAGGACACTTTTTTTTTATGTCTTTGCGATTAAAGAATACAAATGGAATCAAATGTTCTAACAAACTGCCATGTGTATGGCCAGAGTTGCCTTATTAAAATATAGTAAGGACAACCAGTAGGTGGGCCAGACTACTAAAACACAATTCCTGTTTACAGAATTGCTTGTACATATTGTCTGCATTCTAACACTCTGTGACACTCATGCGTTAACAATTTTTGCTCCTCTTCCAACAGCTCCTTCCACTGTTCCCATCATGCACCAGGTCAGAGCTACTATGAAGAGTATCACCCTATCTTGGCCTCAACCAGAGCAGCCCAACGGAATTATCCTGGACTATGAAATTCGATATTATGAGAAGGTGACATCAACATACTTCATAATAAATATATGATTTCACTTTAACGGCAACTCTTCTTTACATAGTGGCAATGGGCTTAGCAAATTAATGGTTGCGGAATTGCACAGCACCAATCCATTAGCACCCTCTTCAGAACTATAATGAATATAGAAGTTGCTTGCATTAGCTTGCCATAAAGTGTGCAGTCTTTACTGACTCAATAATGTGAAACTTGGCTGCTGCCGCCAGAGCCTATCACGTTTATAGATATCCTATTAGATGAGCAAGAAGATGTGATAAGTCAGGAACCAATGAGAAATTCTATGCAGCTGACTTACAGCCCAAATGCTTTTAGAACAAGTAACTGGAAAATCATTGAATCACGCAGAGAATCTTATAGTTTGTAATAGCACAGACCAGACAATCTAGTAAGCGACCTGGAGTATAAGAAACAATCTGCCTGTTTGGTTTCACAAGAGATTGTAAACATGGATGAGAATTTGACCGAACCAATGATTTGAATCAGTATTTCTATAACTGTGCAACATGCTAGAATTGAAGTGTGCATAAAATGTGTTAATAATGCATATTGAGTACTGGATCACAGTTCCTTCACCTACCAGGCCCATTGTAACTTTTCTTGCCCATTTAAGTACCTTTTCATTTTGGCACACATAGAGAGAATGCAATACTGTACTTATTTTACTATTGAAAAATATCAGTCCTTAAAGTATAACTGTGACAGACTATGGCCATTCAAATATTTATATATTCCTAACAAGAAGTAAATACGATTTAAATAAAGCCCTCAGTGACTTCTGTAGCTGCAGGCAGTATGAAGCAATTTATCCTAAAGTTATATTTGTTGGGTCCCAGCATTGTGCCCCCTCTTTTGTTCTAACTAAAGTGTTTCAAATTTGAGGATACATTACTTCACAGTACCTGCAGCTACAGAGGTCAGTGAGGGCTTTATTTATTAAACATTGGAAATATTTGAATGTCCTTAGTGTGGCCACAGTTCTCTTATTTTCAGGGGTCAGTCCCACTGGTGTTTCTATTTTTATTTGAATCACCCACTGGCTCTTTTGGCCCATCAGGTCCTTCAGTTGCTTATGCATTTTCACCAATAAAACAACTGCCATGCCCATCATGTAAGAGTTTGTGTCTTTGTTGGATTTTTTTAGTTACCTCTTGTTCAGAATTTTTGGGGAGGAGCTAAATTCTAATGAAAAGGGAACACCATGCTGGTAAATAAGACAAAGATTACTAAAGTCTCCAAGAATTAAAATGACACTTAAATCATTCACAAATATTTTCCAATAAGCCAGATAATCTTGAGTATAGGTTGTTATTGTCAATCTCTTATCACAAATATCGCTTGGATTAGTCTTCTTGTGTTTGAATATTGGACACTCTTTGGCACTCATACAATTTCCAAAGCTGCATAGAAATGCACATCAATTTACCCTACTTGTACAATTCTGCTCCTGGTTCCATTTATAGTAAGACTGATAGATGGTGCTCAGTGTGTCATCTATTGATCTCTCTGGCTTTCAGTCAATACATTGATTAATGTGTATTTGACTAAGAACAATGCTGGTGATTAGACTGTATTTTGCTGCCCTGATAGTGTAGTAATCATCATTAAGCTTACTTGATTGCCTGTAACGAGTAAAATCGTGCCATACATTTCAGCTAATTTTAAATTAATAAACTAGTGGGTCTGTGGCTTGAGAGCTGCTTTTCCATTCAAGAAAAACCCAAGCAGTGTTGTTGTGCAACAACAGCACTAATGGTGATAATTAGGAAAAATGACATCACTTTCTTTCAGATTCTGCCTCAGAATGCCCTCTTACCAGACCTTTCATAACGATTCAGTTTACCAAACAGCCCTTTCCTATGGCTCTCTTATTACTTACAAACCTTTCATAAGGATGCCCTCTAAATAACAGACCTTTCGTAAGGACGCCCCCTACCCTATAGACCTTTTACTAATGATGCCCTCTGTCTAACAATCCTGAACATAGGAGGCCCTCTAACTAACATATCTTTCCCAAGTGTTCCCTCTAAGTAACAGGTTTTTCCTAAGTATGCCCTCTAACTTACCTATCCCTATAATTCCCTTCAACTGACAGACAGACATTACTTAAATATGCCATCAGATTAACAGATCTTCCCTAAATATGTCCTTTAACTAGGAAGTCTTTCGTAAGAGTGCCATCTAAATAAAAGATCTCACCTAAGAATGCCCACAAAAAGACCTTTCCTAAGAATGCCCTGTATCTGTCTTCCTGGGTGCAGAGTAATGCCCTACCATGGGGATCCCCTTAAATTAAACCTTCCTGTAACCCTAACTTTAACACTTCCTGTAACCCTAACCTTAACACTTATACACTCAGTAAACCCACCCTTATTATTGACACTCCCACCATGTTTCCATACCTCTTCTTCTCCTGGATCTTCTGGCCACCAAATAATAACCTTAATAAACATGAAAGATTCTCAGCAGAGGAATATTTGTCTCACCCACTGTGCATAAATGACAAGTGAACATTTTGCAGACAGAATATTAGTAGCAGGAAGGAAGGAAGGAAGAAGCACTTGTAATAGCAGATGGGAGCATGTGTAATATTCAAGTAGTATCATTTACTGAGACCTTCATGCTACCGTACTAAATAAATATGCATTAGCAGCAGCCTATAGACTAATTTACAGATGTAGAAGGCTTAGCTTACTTTATTTCATATTATGTCCAGCTAAATAATAGGAAAATCCAATATGACTGGAAGTTATCAGAAACATGGTTATATCTTGTTGAAGTTAACCACCTTCTTTTCAGAAATTTTAATAGTAGGCATCTGTTGAGCTTATGGCCCATTAAGTGGGGTCTTTTCACAGAATGGCAAGATGGTGTAGGCGGAGTATCTATACATACAGGAAAATACATTTGTTTTTAGAATCAGGTAACTGTTACGGACTAGCAGATGGAATATTCAGGAGGCATTTTTTTTCCAAAGTGTGTGCGCTAAATATCGGAATAAAATTGAATGGTTCTTCTTTAAGATTTTTTTTATTGCTGCAGCAATTTTCATTGCTTAAATACAGTATATACAAGTTGTATTTATATTCTGTTTCTGTTTTATTTTTTACTGTACCATATATTTATGTACCTCTATACATTTTCTTACTAACAGGATCAAAATGAATTTAACTCATCTATAGCAAGAAGCCAAACCAACACAGCCAGCATAGAAGGACTGAAGCCTGGTGTGGTGTATGTGGTACAGGTCAGGGCACGCACAGTGGCAGGTTATGGAAAGTACAGTGGAAAAATGTGCTTCCAAACACTGACTGATGGTAAGTGAAGAGCATCTAGATATGTAATTCATGAGCTCAACAAATGTATGTATGTATAACCAAAAACATATATTAAAAAGGCACAAGATAAACTTTAAATGACTCTACAAGCATACTAGAATAACATGGTTAGTTTTCATGATCACTATGTTCAATATTTACCAAATGTATTATGGTATTGAATTTGTCCAAGATTTTAATTTGTTATTCCACAAAAAACTCAAATTCTATCCATATGCATAGGCATGCATAAGCATGCTGGAATGCAATGTTCCTGAACCCTTTGGCTAGTAAAAAATAAAAATCTGTTTTACTATGACCAGACGCTGCAGTAATATATTTAGCCCTCATCCTGTATCCAGTATCACAACACAACCTTTTATAAATAAGGGTGCTATGCAAAAACCACTGTAATTGATTGGATGGACTTCAGTTTGCGGTTGCTATATTTCTGCAAACAGATAATATATAGGTAATATTAAGGTACAAAATGTATTTGTGTCCTTGTTTCTAGTAAACTGAAATGTCCCCATCTTGTGAATGGCATTCCATCCATAAGGCTGGCAGTGGGCATTCCCGTCTTGACAAATGAGGAGCAGCACTGAAATGGCTGCTGGATACCTTATACATACATTAGCAATTCAGTTGTGAAGACTCCTATATGACCTATCTGATGCTTTGAGATTACTAAACAATCATTTCATAAATTTCACTCTAGATGTTCAGGTTATGAAACAGTAATAGCCAAGCCTAGCCTGCAGGATGATAAAACTTCTGAGGTAGGGGCTGCTTTTAGGACCAGGAGATCAGCATGACCAACCTGAACCTCTGCCTCTTATCCCATCACCATTTGCTGTGTCTGGGGTATAAAGGCAACCATCTTGAGGAAAAGAGCTTTGCTTCCTCATGACAGAGCTGACCCCTAATGACAGGTGATCTGATGATGGTGATCTAATTAATGGTGGGGTAAAGAACAAGCAGCAGCAGAAGAGGTGGGTGAAGCACAGATCCACTAAATGAACAGGGCAGAAGCTGTAGATACAGCTTCTTTTCCAGCAGACCTGCAACAGAAGAACAATAAGCAGCACAGTAGTGAAATCACCAACTTTTGCTCCAAATCTCTTGAGAATGGCAGTCATCGGAGGCAAATAGTTGACGGGATATGATTCCCCAGGCTACAGCACAGGAGTACCTAGGCAAAGTCACAAGTCAGGAAGTGCATTGCTACTTCTCAGAAGGCATTTAAGGCATATTAGGATATTCCTTTATTACAATTAACTTTTCTAGACATTACCTATACAATAGCACTTCTTCACTTTTTGAAAATACAGTAGGTTTACTTTGATTGAACATTTTCCATCTTTGATTCTTGTAATCCATGTTTGGAAATAAAAGCAATCATCCAATTGGTTTTTACAGCTGCAAATACAGTATGGAGTTGCTCCATTTCCAATAAACTAACCCCAGTCCAGGATGGATTTTAACTGTTTTCCAGGCAAAATCTATATTCATCTTGGTGATAAATTGTCCAAATTTGGAGGTTTCTGCATTATATATGAGGGGTCCCCATTCACGCTTTACACCTAATCAATTGAAAATGTCTGAAAAAACAGCTAGAGGTTGTTTCTAACACTTTTAAAGAAAAAAATGCAACACTCCAGCAGAAGGCTTTACATGTAAGATATATTGGTCTGCCCTAATGAAAATGATCAATCTGTATGGGTCATTTGCTGGTTTGCTGCTGTCAGATTTCATGTGAAAAATTGATTGACATGACATCATATTCATATGGTAGCAATGAAGTGTAAAATAGGAACATATATTAGATTGCAAACTAGTTCTGCCTGATTGGTCCTGGCCGTTTCACACGCATTATTTGATACACTCGACATACAGTGTATTTACATGCATGATCTTTCAATTCAGCATTGCAGAATATCTGTTAATTGACCCATTCTGTTTTGAAATGATTTCCACTCCATCAAACTATTTTCGTTTATTTGATTTCCTTTTTCTCCTCCGTTCTTTAAATAATCAGATTCCAACACATGTGCCGCTGCTTGACAGGCATGGGTTCTTCTCCACGAGCGGAAACATTCCTCCTACACTGGCCCAGGGCACTGAGCCAGGCTGTTACATGCGTAACTCTGCTGGGCATCTTTCCTTACCAAGTCTGGGCATTAGGAAGGAAGGTGAAGCCAAGAGGGATGCTGTGCTTCTGTATTGTTCCAAAGCTCTTAACGCCTTCCCTGCCAATTCTACTTGGCCTGTGTCCCTGCTGAGGTTAAGACTGATTTGTGGCTAAAGGGAAAGTGGAGACAGTTTACTTACAGTTAATAAAAGCTGAGCTTTAGGCAGATATTTAAAACACTATTTAAATCATAAAATATATTTTTATACACAACTAGTATAAATACCCTGATATCAACTATTTGCTAATGTATCCCTAACACTAAAACATCCCCAACACTGAACCCTCACCCCAACACTTAAACTGAACCCTAAAATGCCTTAAATATTACCCCCCAACACTTACAGAGCAAAACAGAAACATAAAATGCAGATTAACAAGTTTTATTGCGGAAATTGGAACATATTGCACTCAGAATACTGTATGTTGTTTATATACAGACTTCCTGATAGTAATCATCATGAGGTGTAAACATTCAGAGATAGTAAACGTGTACAAAAGATGTATAATATGGATGCCAGTTAGTGAATCAATGTGCCACATCCTTAACCTACAACCTATTAATTATACATCCCTCAATATATAAATAGATACTTATGAATCACAGTAAACATCAATGGGAATCCTGCATTTCTCAAATGGTGATTGGGAGGTGATGAAATCCTCAACACGTATAAAGAACAAAGTTCAGTGCTTCAAAAGAGAGGTGGAAATATGTATACTGTCACACGGACCCAATATTATAATAAAACCATTAATACCGTGTGTGCAACCCATCAAAATCGTCTATGCAGGAGAACCCCAGGAAATTATAGGAAGAAAGGCATGCCCGCCACATTAACAGCATAAAAGAGAACCTGTGAGTTAGCTCAAGCAATGTGTGTAGTACTATTTTTCAGTGGTATAGATACTGTATCTTCAAGCCTATCGACATTTAGAGTTATCAGATATAATTCATACTAATCCATTTTAATTATAATTGGGATTTCTCATATCATAAAAGCAGGTACTTAGTTTAGTAAAACCAATTACAGATGCAGAAATCATGGGTTAATTGTGATGGCACCAAATGGGTATTTAGTAGTCTTCTTGGAGTTTAGCCTTCGGGCAATTTTAGATACCTTTCAAGAGAGATATGGGTGTACAATAATCCTCTTACCTGCTGACAATTTACAATTTATAAAGAAAAAAACTGAATCATCTGCAAATTAAACTGTTAAAGAACAAAACCTAAATAGAGTTATGACTCCAGTTATCAGTGAAATATAAAACAGTAGTATCTTTATTAGTGGAAATATGCCCAAACAAAAAAAAATTTGACAAATTGTTTTCATATGTCTGTGCATATTTGCGCTAATAAAAAAATATTCTTTGACATTTAATTGGTAACTGGAATCATAACTCTATTTAAGTTTTCCTCTTTCAGAGTGTTCAGAGGTGGACAACAGCATCACTTTAAGATTTCCATATACTTCTATGGAAAGGGTTCATACTACAAGGGTGATCAGAGTTTGGAATTATCACACAAAGAAGGTGCTGATGGCCAAATTTATAAGTGAATTTTAATGTGACTATTAGTACTAGAAATGACATCTCCAGATATAATTAATAGAATTCATCAGTGGAGAGATTCATCCAGAGATTTAATATTTTTTTTACTAACAACTAATGGCCTCGGGAAGGAATTCCTATTATTTCATGGTGAGGTTAAGTTGGCAGTTGGCTCCCTTTGTTGTTTTTATGTCTTTGGGACCAACAGGATTGGAACAGTGTCAAAATGTTTACTGGCTGAACTCAATTGACATTTTAGATTTTATTATGTCACTTAGCTTTGAACAAGCATTATACAAGTATATGGTCCCCTTATCTATGAACTAAGTAAAAATAGACAGAAAAGCATAACATTTCCAGATAACAAGCATCTTCAGTATATAAAACATTGCTAGACTCATATATCATATATACTATTTGACATAATTGATGTTGTACGATCTGAAAGCACCTGCCATGCTTACTGCGGCATCCAATGACGAGTGAGCTGGAATCACAGAAATCTCTTCATTCATAGAAACCAATATTGCATGTCTAGATGTACATGAGCAACAGACTACTCATGAGCATGCAATGACAATGATGTTATCATAATATGCTCATAATTGTCCTGTCACTGCACCAAAGCCATACAATGGTGTGTGTCTCTGGCCTTTCTGCATAAGATTATTTTGAAGGTGCAGTACCTCTCAGTTAGAGTGTGAGACTATCACGTGTCTTTGGTTTGTTACATTGCTTTGTTGGTGTTCTTTGGATGTAGGAGTGAATGCAACAATCTCTTTCAACTAAAATACTAGTTTTTGGTGCATTTGGGCTTCATTATATGTTTGGCAAAGTAACTCAAATTAGTGAAAGTTGCTTTGTATAACCTCCAGCCATCCAAAGTAAAATATATTTTATATGTATTTTAAACTTACACATGTTTAAAATGTAAACAAGGGTTTGGAGAAAATACTGAGGGCCTAGAAATGTTAAACATTACACCCGTTTCCATTAGGATGGTATTTGACCCTTGACTATGATTCATATTCAGATGAGGCATAAAATAGACCAGCTTGTTATTTGAGAGTGTCCTTATCAACATGGAAATGGGGTCATCCAAGAGAACCAAATTATTACTGCTGCAATGTTTTTATTAGTGTGAATGTCTTATAATGATAGGGATAACATCTGGTATCACTAGACTTTGAGGTTAGACAACTTAGTTATGGAAAGTGAAGAAGAAGGAAGTTTTGAGAAGTAGAACAGGGACAGGAAGGACATATGACAAGCATAGGAAGTGCAGGAGGGAGTAAGATTTATTTAGACAATGATATATATCTAATGTCATTGTTCTGCAGTAAGCAACACCCAACTGGAGTGAACAGAGGGTTGACAGACAGGATAAAGTAAAAGAAAAAACAGGCAATAGTGTAATTTATGTGTCTTGGTTTACGACTGGTGGCTGGTGAGGTGAGCTGAGGCATCCTCCTGCTTTCATTAAGCCAAACATGTTACAGCATTAATTATTTTAGCGGAAAAGAGAAAACATTTCCTTTTAAATACTTATGCAGCAGTCCAATGTGGACTATTTGTCAAATAATTATTCATTTTGAGAATAAACCTTTCCCAATCTCGTCATGTAACACCACATCCTATCCTTCCATTCACAGACCTTTTGTCTCTGGAGTCAGCAGTATCAGATTTTTTTGAGTTCTATAATTTTGTCCAGTTATAGGAAGGTTATGGAATTGAATAAATGTATGAACCCAGAGGAGCTACAAACACCAAGATGAGGGCCTTGTTTTTGTTTAGGTTGGGTATCAGTGAGTAGGAAGGGTGTTCTGAAATCCTGCACCTTTCTTCTGATTAAGTAGGTAGGGGGTAATATCCATAACCTTAGCTGAGAGGGTGGAGCTTAATGTAGAGAGGGCCTTCTCACCAAGGTAGTATTGCTAGAGGCAGTGCTAAAAGACTGTTTAGTCTTTTTTAGATTTAGAACCAATCAAGATCTTCCAAAAGTAGAGCCAGCATGTTATGTAATGTAAAACAAGTTCAACATCCAAGAGATTTGTAAGGAACCTTTTTATTATTATTATTATTATTATTATTATTATTATTGTTTCACTTCATGGTTAGCATTTGCATTATGTTTATATTGTACTGTAGCATAAGGCTATTTTGTATCCAGAGTTTGTAAATGCTATCAACAAAGCGTTAATCTTATGATCACCCATTCAAATAATGGAGATTTCTGTCTATTGCAATATGAACTATGAATATATTTGTACATACACACGAAATTAGTAGGAGATAGGTTCCTGACAGATTCTCTGACCTTTGCTGGGTGGAAAGTGTGGAGGCACATAATGAAGACTTGACATTTTAGATGGTTCAACATGAATCACACACGGGAGCATGTATAATAAAGATCTGAGTCAAGATCTGGATCTGCGCATTCATGTACTCTTTCTCTTTGACACAAATGATAGGCTCCATTTCAAAAGGTTTATTGTTGTAGGCCAACCTGGCACCATCCTGTGTAATTTCTCCTATTTCCACTTTTAGAGGATTACAAATCAGAGTTGAGAGAGCAGCTTCCACTGATTGCTGGCTCGGCAGCAGCGGGTGTTGTCTTCATAGTGTCCCTGGTGGCTATTTCCATTGTATGCAGTAGGTGAGTAAATTTTTATGCCTTTATATATGTTTTCTTCACAAAAGTACACTGTCTGCCCATACATTAAGAGATATTCACAAGTGAAGCAAATGATTTTATGGTCTATGGATATATTTCTACTCCAAAGTATAAATCAGTACTCCCACACCACAGTGGTGTGCTGATTTATACTTTGGAATGTCACATGGGTTTATTTAATTAAGCAACCCGTTCTGTCTGCAAATTGCTTATTTAGGATCTGTGTGAGTACCATTTTATGAATTTTTGTCTCTGTGGATAATGTTCTGCCTTGTCATTCCACTAACTGAGATCACAGTTAGATCTGAAATAGAGCTGAAATCCAGGTAAGCAGCTAAATAGGTGAAGTGCATGTGAAATGTTTTACCTGCTTGGAGGTTAGATATTCTATTCAGCCAGTCTTGTGATAAAGGCATCCGCACCAGACAACAAGTTCCTTTTAGGAGTTGGAGTGAGAAGGGGGATTGTTAAATGTTATGGGGCAGTTAAGAGGTTAAGTGTCGGGGGGCTAGTGGGGTTTCTTAGAATTTAAGTGTTAGAGGGAGATGAATTAGATGACGGTTGAGTGTTTGGAAATACTTTAGTGTAAGGAATACTTTGGGGTTTTTTAAGTACAGCTGCAGAACTTTTATTTTTTTTCTTGACACAAAGATTCGTGCATCAAAACCTACCATCACCAGAATATTGACTCTGAGGACAAATATATGATGATTTCAATGCTTTCCATTGTAATGAAAGCTAAAATAAAAAAAAAATGGCTGGAGTCCCACTTGTGTTTTTTATATTTGTCAGGAGTTCAGCTTAATGCTGGTCATTCATGGGAAGCCTTTCATTTGTATGAACAGAAGAGAATAGGCCTGCTTCTCATCACAATACTTGGCAAGCACCTAAAAGGGAACAGTCTAAAATATTTAGATCCCTTAAGCACACGTTGTATCAGTTAATTTCAATGGAAAAATACATTTTTATTGTGTCCCAATTCAGGTATTTCAGGTAACTTGGCTTCTTTAAGCGGCCACTCCTGTTCCTCAGCATGCCATAGCTGAGCAGGCCTTACCCATAGAAAAAAATAACTCAGCTACAACAATGCTGTGAGTTCTTCCCCTACTTCTGCATTGTGATGCAGGATAATGAGGAGAGGGGAGGCACATAATTTTTGGGGGTATCAAGGGTGGCAAATAATTTTCTGGTGTGTTAAGGATGGCACATCATTTTCCAGAGTGTTAAGGGTGGCACATAATCTTCCAGGGTGTTAAGGGTGGCACATATTCTTCCAGGGTGCTAAGGGTGACACATCATTTTCTGGTGTGTTAAGGGTGGCACATCATTTTCCAGAGTGTTAAGGGTGGCACATAATCTTCCAGGGTGTTAAGGGTGGCACATATTCTTCCAGGGTGCTAAGGGTGACACATCATTTTCTGGTGTGTTAAGGGTGGCACATCATTTCCTGGTGTGTTAAGGGTGGCACATCATTTCCTGGTGTGTTAAGGGTGGCACATCATTTTCCAGAGTGTTAAGGGTGGCACATAATCTTCCAGGGTGTTAAGGGTGGCACATATTCTTCCAGGGTGCTAAGGGTGGAACATCATTTTCTGGTGTGTTAAGGGTGGCACATAATTTTCTGGTGTGTTAAGGGTGGCACATCATTTTTCCAGGGTGTTAAGGCTGGCACATCATTTTCCAGGATGTCAAGTCTGGATTGCCTATTGGCTTGTCCCCCGTTGCATGGGCCATTTTAATTGCTTTTGTCAGCTCATTTAAACAAGGATGATTCTGTAAAGAAAATATTCTATTTCCTTTTTCATATGGTAAATTTTTTCATTTTTGTAATAATATATAATACTACAAATGTGTTGTACCCCTGCAAATCCAGGCCTCTGATCTTCTCAAAGTATCACAGTCAGATCCTATTCCACAAAAAGTCACATCCTATTCCACCAAAAGCTACCGTACTTCCATTTTCTTCCCATCTTCGACCCTTAGACATGTATGTTACGAATGTATGTTACCTGTGTTCACGTGGAGCTCTCCCACAGTGTCTTCTCATGGCCACAATCACACTTACAGGTTACTAGGTGCTCTGGTATAGCATTGCCATCGCATGTGAATCCTTTGGAACTATTTAGTAAGTTGGCAGCAAAAATATAAAGCAGATACTGTTTTTTCTGCATGATACCATTCCTACCATTTATCCTTTTCACTTGTATAAGACAAAAGACAAGCTATGACTCTGCACCAACATTTTTCAAGTTTAGTTTTGTTTTGTATTCCAGGAAGAGAACGTACAGTAAAGAAGCAGTGTACAGTGATAAACTACAGCACTACAGCACCGGCAGAGGTAAGGTTCCCCATTCCATTAATACCAGTGACCAGACGTTAAAATATACTATGACTATTATTGCTGTTATTAATAATAATAATATTTCCTATACTACTATGCTTTTTTTTAAAATTTGACTTTATTAGTCCTTCATACTGTGCACCTGCCTTCAGTACCATGAGTGTGCTTTCAGTTCAGAGGATAGTTCAGTAGGTTCAGTAGGCTTTCACATCAGAGGATGCAAATATTAAAGTGACACTAATAGACTCAGGAGTTAAACCCTAACCTCAACAAAAATTTATTTTTTTGTGTATCACTCGGCTGTAAATCCTCAAATCATCTCTGAATTGGTGCTGACAATGCCCTTCCTTCTGGAGGGTGGCCACTTTTGTTTACCATGATCCCTGTGTGTTTTAAAGTGGGTAGACTACAATCTCAATGCAAATTAGGAAATTAAACGTGAGAGTGTAGTCCATCACAGGAGTGAGTGTTTTTTCAGTTTTTTACTGTTGTTCAAATAGTTGTTATTTAACCCACGCTATTCAGCTGTCTTCAGAAAAAACTCAGCTGAAAGGGTCAGAGAGGGGATCAAACCCCCCCCTCCTTCCACATCTCATATGAGCAGTATCAATTAGAGAGACACATTCCACAAGTGAGCAGCTACTGTGGAAAGTTTTATGAATAATGAAAAAGTGGTATAAAAAACAGTTTATAAATGTATAAACATTCACACTTAAATGTGAATTAAATCAGAAAAAAGATTATTAAAATTTATGTTTCAAATTCATTATTTGCTCTATTACTACTTTTTTGTATTTTTTTTTTCAGTACAAAAATGTAGTTGTTTTTCTTATAAGAATAAGACAATGATGCCTTTATATGAAGCCTGTTTTTTTCCCCTCATGTGTTTTTTAGTGTGTTGTAGTACGTTGTCTTTGATACCTGACTCTCCCCCTCCTCATTTTCCTCTTTCTCATGTTATCAGGCCAGGCTCCCATTGCACATCACTCAGAGGCTGCAGCTGCCAGCTCTTTCCTGTGCTATGGCCTCCAATCACAGGCACTTGTCACATGTGATGAATTTTGATTTCTTGCTAGAGTTGTCCCTTCATTTATCTGCTAATAGGTTTCTTATGACAAAGTAAATAATAGCCAGGCTGCAGGTTTCAGCATACACCACACGGCTTGTCCCCAATCTGTCAGTCTTAACGCTGAGCATGGCCCACATATTCACCTGGCTGAGGAGCATATTGTTACATGGGAAAAGTTAACAGGATGTGGGCTGGTAGGCAGTAATTCTTACTGAGAAACTGTAAGTACTGTAAGCCGTAGGTCAGTACACATATTACCTACAATACTTTCATTGTACATATTTATTTTGCTTGTGCTTTGTAAAATTATAGTTGTAATTGAAACTTTGACAAACAAACACATGCCTCTCACCTGTGTAAAATTACATTAATATTATATACCAAAATATATATATATATATATATATATATATAAGGTATATGTAT